CTAGAAAATCAAACATGTTCAGCTTCTGAGGTTTTTGTGGGATAATTGTTTTTTATATTCTAGACTTTTGTTTTGTTCTAGAGTCTGTTTTTCAGTATTGTTTCCCATGAAAGTCTCGATTCAAGAATGTATCTGGTTTGGAAAGATGATTATGACTTCCAGAGTTGACAAAATATCTTTCAGCAGTTCAGCTAATGTTCGGGGCTCTGTGGTTTTACATCAAACTATGTGCTGCTCTGGATGACTCTGGTTCTGGAGGATATTTGATTGATTGAACAAAAACGTTTTTTCAAGTGTTGGAAAAAGTCAGTTTTTTTCCTAGACATCATATGATGGAACATTTATTTCTTCAGTATTTTGTTTGTTCCTCTGTCCCCCCCCCACACTCTTCATCCTGTCTGTGTTGGTTCTGGACGGTCAGATTCTAGAATCGTTTAACTGTGGAACCTTTTTCAGGTTTGATCTCAAACAGCGCTGGAATATTTTACGGAGTCTAGAACAAATCTTAAATCCTCTTTACAGTTTATTCTAGAATCTGTTTCCAGAATTGCACTAAAATAGATTTTATGTGTATTTTCATTCAAAGAAAAATGCTTGTAGAGTCTTTGGTTGAAATTGTGTTGAATCCTTCTTTACTTGAGACTCTGGAACCTTCTACAACATCAGGCCCAGGCTGCTGTAGAATCAGTGGAAGCCACATGGAGGCGTGTCGACAGTTTCCTTACTAATTCGAGAGCGTACGTGCAGAAAATGGAGCCTGCACATTTGAAGCTCTTTGAGAGCTGCGGTTTGATTCTGTGCGATGCGAGGAAAACGTTGAAGCTGTTTTTGGTCTTTTTGTTTTCAGATTCTAGAAAACATTTGTCTCTGATTGGAGTCACTTCTCTCTAGAGCTGTTCTGGTTTACGTGTGAGTTCTGATTGAAGGCTTGTTGAGGTTCTGTTTTCAGAATCTGATCCCACACGATTCTAGAATCTGTACTTTAATATCCCGTCAGAATGCACATGATGAAAATGCCGTTGAAGGATTCCCACCTTATGTTGTTTTTCCTTAGGCTCTAGAAGCCGTGTCCTCATCCTGACACTAACGTCAGAGTCTAGAGCTCTTTGTCAGTTTGTCTCAGATTGAAATCATCTGTTGTTTTTCTAAACTCTTCAGATTTGATTATTTTGTATTTTTATTTTATCGGCTGGAGGACGCAGGAACCTGAACACGTTCTGGATGGTGGATTCATACACGTGCACGTATGTCTGCTCACTGTGGCGTGAGCTCCGGCACATTTCACACAGGCTTAATTCCAGAATCTGTTCATCCCATCCACGGCTGTTCTAGAGTCACCGTGACGTTGTTAGGCGTGTTACTTGGCTTCACTACAGTTTACTACAGTTACGAATCACAGGATGTGCTGAGAGACTCCGGGGTGGGGTGGGGGTCGGGCTTGGGGGGTGATGTGAATGCCGAGCCTCCCTGATGTGGAGTGGTGCGTTCAGGAGCCGTTTGTACTTTCCAGGAAACCTTTGATGTGTAGCGTGTGTGTGTGTGTGTGTGTGTGTGTGTGTGTGTGTGTGTGTGTGTGTGTGTGTGTGTGTGTGTGTGTGTGTTCAGAGCAGTGTTGTTTTTGCATGCATATATTAGCTCTGTGTAAATCGATGTGAGTTGCATGTCCGTGTAGTTTTCAGTTGTCCGGCTGTCTGTTGTGGCTTTCGGTGCCTTTTTGTTTCTTCTTCTTTTACTTGTCCCCCGTGTCCCTGATGACATTTGTTGTCGGGTTAATGGTCCAACAAAAGAAAGGGGAAAAGCATTAAACGGGATCCCGGACCAGCAGGGCACGCAGCCGTTACGAGTCCAGCAGCAGAGCTTGTACAGATGTCGCAGCGGCGGTAATGTGTGTGAACTCTGTTTTGGTTTTGTTCAGTTTTTGGGTGGATCGTCCCTTTAAAGTGTGCCAACCTACAGATGCCAGTGTTGTACAGCAGTGAAAAGCTCACTATTTACTAAAATAAACTGTTTCTCTGTTTTTGCACTCGGACTCGCTCGTTCTTTCTGCCTCCGACACTTCGTTCTGTACAAACTGTGACACACTGATCCTCAGAGAGAGCAGAAACCAGATTTTGGCTTTAGACTGGGACTGGGTGTAAAATGGATTTGGGTTCACTTTTTAACACAGACCGTGGATCTTTGCTGAGCTTGTGTAGTTACCAAAGTAGAAGTGGATCATTGTCTTAAAGCGATAATATTCCAAAACACAAGTCCACCTGTGATTGGCTCAGAAAACACAAAGCTTTTGTAGTCGGAGTCTGTTTATGAGGTTTATTAAGTATTAAATATTTAGAGTCGTTTGAACATTGCTCTCACTTTAATTGTAACGAAGTGTTTTGAGAGGATAGTCGTGTCCCATATCAAAGAATCCATCCCGGACACATTCGACTCTGCAGGTTTGCATATCGGAAGAATCGTTCTACCGAGGACGCCGTTAATGCAGCGTTCCACACAGCCCTCTCACGCCTCGAATATAAGGACACCTATGTTCGAATGCTGTTTATAGACTACAGCTCAGCATTCAACACCGTCAGCCCAAACAGACTGGTGGAAAAGCACCTCACAGGCAGGCTTCAGGCAGTCAGAGTTGGTATCTCACGTACAAAGATAGTGAGCCCAGGGACCCCCCAAGGCTGTGTGCTCAGTCCACCCCTGTACACCCTCTTCACCTATGACTGCATCCCCTCCCAGAGCAACACCTCCATCATTAAGTTTGCTGACAACACAACCATTGTTAGGCTGATAGCTGTTGGAGAGGAGACGGCCTGCAGTGAAGAGGTGGCTCAGCTGGTGACCTGGTGCCTGGAAAATCTGTCCTTAAATGTTGAGAAGACTAAGGAGGTGATTGTTGACCCGAGGATGAGGAGAGACCAGCACGCCCCACTATGTATTATTAACCCCGATTCTTTTGTCCCCATGATAGAACAGAGAAAACCGACTCATAGTGTGTTAAAACATTTATATTTCTTTTATTCAATCATCTTCTGGAAGAGAGAGACCCCTGCACAGCCCAAAACGCCAGTTGCAGGATCTCTAACATTTGACGCTCAACACGTGTCTTATATGGTGTTATTTCTGTACTTCAGACGTCACACACAGTTTCATTACAAACAAACTCCTTCTACTCAGTTCTTATTTTCTGTGTCTGATTTATTAATATGCCTGTGCACTAAAACTTCCTGTGCAGAGGGTGAAGACCTTCAAATTCCTCTGCACCCACATCAGTGAGGATCTCACCTGGACCCATAACCACGGCAGATCATCAAGAAGGCTCAACAATGACTCTTCTTCCTGAGGAAGCTGAGAAAATTAGGATTAACCTCCAAACTTCTCAGCAATGTTTACAGATGAACAGTTGAGAGTATCCTGACAAACTCCATCAGTGTGGTACGAGAACAGCACCACTCAGGATAGGGACGCACCCACCCACAGCACACACTGTTCACACTCCTGCCATCTGGCAGACGCTACAGGAGTGTGAAAGTAAGGACAACCCACAGGCCATCAGGCTACTGAATCACTGACTAACTGTCGAACTGTGATTGTCTATCAATAACCTGACCTGTAAATTTGCAACTGTGAACTTTTATATACAATATAACACAACTTCATACAACATAAACAATTTTAATATTTGCACATTCTGAATATCTTAACACTGTGTTGCATAACTACTTGCACTTTCAAATTTTAACTACACCCTACCCTTGTGTACATAAACACATAAGTACTACATTTATTCTTTATATTAGTTACTTGTTTATTTAGTTGTTTGAAGGGAACTCGCAAAGTAACAATTTGATTGCTCAGCGTAACCATTTGTGTTTTGCGGTGTGTATATGACATTAAACTTCTTCAGTCTTGTTTTTATGTTGCAGCTCCCCTCCAGAGCGCTGGGGTCGCTGCAGAGCTGATTTGAACCGCGGTCTTTCCCAGAATGCATCGCTCCCGTCAGCCAGAAACCCGTGCTGCTCTCACGTTTCCCCGCTCAGAAACATTAAAACCTTTTGCGTGCCGCGCTGTCGGAGTTTGCGCAGTGAGCTGATGAAGTCAAGAGAAACGCTCACGTGAAGAAGAGCACCGTCACTCAGAGCGCTGGAGCCGCTCCGTAAAGCCTCAGAGCGCGTGCGCTGTATTATGATCCTTCTTGTTCAAGAAGTATGATGATTGGTGCGTTCACGGACCATCCGTGTAAGGTGCAGCCTTCTTGTTACGCATGCGCCTCAGCCCGTCTGACCTTGACAAGAAGCATTTGTAAGATACGGATCATTAGTCAATGTTTCATATCATCGCTGATCAGGATGTGCCTGCAGTGATGTTCTACTCCACACAGTTCTATCTCAGATTCTGTACTTGTACATGTTTGTAGTAATAGTGTAGTGTTTTAGTGGTGACACTTTCTTTAGTTGTAAACATGCTTTTTACTGTCGGTGCTGTCGTTTTGTTTTGTCTCAGTTATTTAATGATAAATACACATAAACAGAATCCCAGTCAATGTTTTTGAATGACAGGGATGCCACAGACTCGGAGTGGGTGGTGGGTTAGGTGTCACGTCCCAGTCTGGTGGTCTTTACTTACAAACACCTGTACAGGCTACACAACAACTCTTTAAACCACAATCATGTGAACCTGAATGCACCACAGAGCAAAAACATCTGCTTTAGGGTTCACAGAGAAACAGGAGTCATTTTGTTTGAGTGCAGAAGTGGGTCAGTGAACTCAGCACACAGCAGGCCAGCTGACTCCCCAGAGTCTGACTGCACTGACCCATCAACCCAGCGACCTCCACCTAAATGTTGAAGTCAAGCTGAGCTCCACCAGTAACGTCTCGGTGATGTGTTTAAGTGTTTCCTGTCATGAGTGGAACTTCTAGTTGTGGTTGTACGGGAGATGGGAGGTGTAGATGAAGTTCTCCACCTGGCCGGGTGCATGCTGATGGAGGCTTCTCTGTTTCCAGTGCTTTCCGCTTTTAATCTCTATTCAATCATCTTCATTCAGCAGCAGCCCAATCACGCCGTTTTACACGAATGCATGCGCTAAGTAATAATAACATCTACAACACACGTTACATCTCGAAGTCTCGCGATGTTTCTTCCGGGTGACGTCACTCCGGATGAGATTTCTGTCCAAACACAGATGGTGTCGCCCTGATCGTCCATGTGGTTCCAGGTCTGCTGAAAAAGCCTCACGCCGTGATCGGAACTTATTTAATTTTATTATATCCGACGAGCCGACCCGCTCTGAGAGGACCCGGAAATGCAGCACGACGACGTAAGTGTCACAAGCTCTTCTGAAGCCGCCGAGAAGCGCTGTTAGCTCTGCGTGCTAACGCTAGCTGGCCGGTGAGAGCTCCGGAGTTTAAAGGAACCATGAGCTGAACCGTACTCATTTATCCGGAGATAAAATACGCGTTTCAACACATCACCAGGCCAAATGCTAGCCGGCTCTTCCGGTCACGCCAAATTCCATTAAATAAAATCAGTTTTAACGTGTTTTAGTTTTCCAGCAAACAGTCCGATCAATACATCATGAAGCGGAGTCAGTCACAGACCTGCGTGGACCTCACTTCGGCCACAGTTACCCATCATTCTTTTCTCCGTGTGTCGTAAAGATCATCAGGCTCCACATGAAGGAAAAAGACGAACTGTAGTCAGACTTAAGAAAAGCTCAGCACGCAACACATCCTTAAATAGATTCACGTAAGCAGAAAAGTGCTAAAATAAATTCACACGATAAAATGAAATAAATAGTAAGTCTAATGGTGAAGTCTCTCAAAGTTCAGTGACGAATAATTAAATAAAATCATAAAAAGAAACTGAGGCAGCAGTAATGTGCATCAGTGTGTGATCCGCCCCCTGCAGGTGATCTGGGACATCATTGGAAACACGCAGTTCTGCTCCTTCAAAGTGAAGTAAGTCACGCTCGGCTTGGATTTATCGACTCGTGTCATTGACGAGCTCTGAGCCGTGTCACGTCATGTTTCTCTGTCCAGGACCAAGAGTCAGAACTTCTGCCGGAATGAGTACAACATCACGGGCCTGTGTAACCGCTCGTCCTGCCCGCTCGCCAACAGCCAGTACGCCACCATCAGGGAGGAGAAAGGTGAGTCCTCGCTCGCTCTCATCAGCTTTACCGGCAGATCTCAGGTCAGCAGGTCTTGGGAGTAACGCGAGGAACGTTTGTGTTTCAGGTCAGTGCTTCCTCTACATGAAGGTCATCGAGAGGGCGGCTTTTCCTGCCAGGATGTGGGAGAAGGTGAGCGGCTAAAGTGGGATTATGTCACTCGTCGTGGTGGATCACCAGACACGGAGACGTCACGTCTCCTGACGATGGCCCGACGTCCTCGACACGGTTTAAAGAATCTGGTGTAAAAGAAGCTAACTTCAGTTTACAAGATTTTAACTCACGCCTCAAACTGTGTGTGTGTGTGTGTGTGTGTGTGCGCAGGTGAAGCTCAGTAAGAACTATGAGAAGGCTCTGGAACAGATAGATGAGAACTTGATCTACTGGCCTCGATTCATCCGACACAAATGCAAACAGAGGTTCACTAAAATCACCCAGTACCTGATCCGCATGCGCAAACTGGTCCTCAAAAGGCAGTGAGTACTCAGACCGTACTGCAGTACACAAAGTACAGCGAGTACTGCGAGTAGGAAGCTGGTGTGTCGTCCCGCCGCGTTCATCCTGCTTGTCTGTGTGTTTCAGGAGGAAGCTGGTTCCTCTCAGCAGGAAGGTGGAGACCAGAGAGAGGAGGAAGGAGGTGAGACTTTAACCACACCCAAAGGTGGCGCTTGACCACCTAACAGAGCTGCAATCAGACTACGAGAGGTCGTAGGTCACATTTTCCTTACAAATTAGGAGCCGAGTTTCGGTTTCCCACAGAGAGGGAACGTTCACGTTGAATAAAGTCCGGCTGGAATTCTTTCCTCGCTTTGAAGAGGAACAGCCGTCGAACTGATATTTAAGGCGGAATGACTGATTCGCAGCATCTGAACGGTCCACCTTAAAAGCTGCTGGCAGCTCCTGTTTAGAGGATTCAGGATTTTTTCCTTTTGTCTGAACTTCATAAAATAAAATGATGCAAACATTTGCTAAAAGTTACCAAAAGCAGAAGCACTGCTCATTCCTCTGTAGTTCATCTCATCGTGACCTTTGACCTGGAACAGGAGCTCTGACGGCCGTCTCTTCTTTGTTGGTGTTTTCTTTTAGGAGAAGGCTCTGATTGCTGCTCAGCTGGATAACGCCATCGAGAAGGAGCTGCTGGAGCGACTTAAACAGGGAACGGTACGACGCCAACGCGACCGCTGCTCGCACGCCAAGGACGATCGTGCGGTTTAACTCACGGTCTATGTTTGTGTTTCAGTACGGAGACATCTACAACTTCCCCGTGCACGCCTTCGACCGAGCGCTGGAGCAGCAGGACCAGGAGAGCGAGTCAGAGGAGGAGGAGGAAGAAGAAGAGGAGGACGACGAGGTGATTGAGGCAGCTGTTACTACACCAGCTGCTGAACATGTTTGTAAAACTTTATTCTGAAAGGATGTCCTGTGTGTGTGTGTGTGTGTGTGCGTGCGTGCAGGACGTCGGGCAGAGAGAGTTCGTAGCAGAAGAAGAAGTGGAGGAGAGCGACCTGAGCGACTTTGAGGTAACTCTTCTCTCTAATGACCAGCAGGGGGCGACTGAAGTCTGATGAACTGCTTTCAAGTCAGACTGAATAAAACAGGAAGTTGAGTCAGAGAGGAGCAGGAAGTCAGAATCCAGAGACGCGTTGACGCAGTTTTGTCCTTTCAGACGTCGGTCGCCGCTCTGCTGGCGTGATCTTTAAATGCGATTGTTTGACTGTTACATTAACTGGACTTCCTCCTTGCAGGACATGAACAAGCTGAAGACGAGCAGTGATGAGGAGGAGCAGGACGAGTCCAGCGAGGAGGAGGAGGTTGAAGAGGAGATGGAGGTGCAGACGAAGGCTTCGCGGTCTAAAGGCAAATCTCCGGCGAACGGCTCGGCGGCGAGGAAGAAGCGAGCGTACGTGGAGATCGAGTACGAGCAGGAGACAGAGCCCGCCTCCAAGAGCAGAGCCACGTAGTGACGCTCTGCCCTCGAAGCAAACTGACTGCCGAGGACACGCCCCCTCACCTTGTGTTACCACGGCAACATTACATAGCTGAGGGGATTGTCCGACCAGCTCTTCTGTTCATGTTTAAAGTCTCGCTCGGCTGGAAGTCATGTGACCAGCACAGAAAGACAGCTGATCACAAGATTGATTAATTGGCCTTTGATAATCAAACAGCCTGATCAGAATGAGTTTTCCCGTTTCACACTTTAAAGACGAATCCATGACTCGCTGCATGTGATCACATGACTGCTGCTTTCACTTTAAACATGAGCAGGAAGTGGAGCCAAAAACAGAACATTACGTGAGGAAGCGCCCACAGTGACGTGAACGACGACTTTTCTGTTCGCCGCGCTAACGGAGAGAAGACGGACGTGAATGTTTTTCTAAACCCTGTAAACATTTTTATGTTTGAAATAAAAATAAACTTGGAAAAAATGTGAACTTTGAATGCAGTGAATTTTAGTTATAAGTGAATTTAATGTTAACTGAGATAAAAGTCTGCACTGCCCTCTGCAGGCAGACAGAAGAATTACAGTTGAACACAAGAGCAGTGAGTCATCGGCGTATATACAGCATATATATAGTTTATTTACAAAGAACTGAGTCTCCACATCTGGACAATGACAGCTGCCGAGAATCATTGCAAACAATCAGAATAAGCTTTTTTAATTTTAGCAGGTTTCTGAAAAATGGACAGACAGAAAAACAGCGACTCCATCATCTGATCTCCACCTCACTGTAATAGTTGCACATGCTTCAGCCAAACAGCAGCGCCTCCCTCAGGCTGATCAGACGATTTTGCTACGAGCACACGGAAAAATAAAAAGGACGTCAGCTGTAGTTTAACCTGATTTCGCTGCATCGTCTTCTCATTAATATATAGAAATTAAGACTGAACAGCGTAACGACTGAGGCCATCCCATAAAGTTTTTCCCATTTTGCATAAGAAGTCTTGTGTAATAGTTTTGGATGCTGAGCGCTTTGGCGAGGGAAGCTGAAGGCGCCGATCCCGGTGACGCCTCACAGACTTTTTGGTCACTGCAGAGTAAAAACAAACTTCAGGGCTTTTTTTATTTTGAGGTCGATCAGGAAAAAACAAAGACAGGACGCCTGAAACGCTTCGGGTTTGTTTTCACCGCATAAAGGTTTTATTGTTAAATCACTCATAGTTGGAGCGCGCTGCTGTCCACCAATCAGACGACAGCAGAGGGTAAAGTCACATGATCGTGCCCCGTTCAGACAGATGTGAGGTGACGTTTTTACTTCATATAACGTGACCTCGGCGCAAGCAGTGACATGATGACCATACGGCGCCACGGAGGCGACAAAATTCCCCAATTAAGAGATCTGAGTGACGCCATGTTAAATCTACACAAACGGCATAATTGATCATTTCTTTTGTTTTCCTGGGTTTAACCAGTCGACTTTTTCTGGGTCATCATTCACTTTAATACTACAGACAAAAATTCTCAGAATGTTTTAAAATTTACGTCATATTTTCCAATTTCCCCCAAAAATAAAGTGCAACAAAACTGTAGGAATGTAGAAAAACACAACAGGTGATTTACATGCATTAAAGGTAATTAAAAACATTAGTGTAATCATTTCAGTAACGATCAAAGATCCTTTTTGTTAATTTCTGTCAAAAAGTTCCAAAACTTTAAATTTTAATAAAATGTGCAATAACCTTCATGTTGAAGAGACTCCAGCTCAGCCAGCCGTACTGTGTGTAATACCACTCTCTACCACAGGATGGAGCCGTCGTCCACGCCTGGTTTAAGGTTAAACGGCAGCACACCTGCTGGTGAAACACTGCCCCCTGGTGGTGAAACTTTTAATGGCTTATGGACCTTCAACTCCATCTCTCCGGGTTTTGTCACTTCTGGGACTCAAAGGAAACATTTCTCGGGTATTTTGTTAATTTTAGTGTAAATAAGCAGAAATACAGGTAGACTAATTCCAGGTTAACTGATCCAAACTCTAAATGCAAAAGCTGCTCCCTCCCATTAGTGCTCACAGACTTTGGTGGTTTAAAAGTGTGAAATGAAATCTGGCAGAGCATCACTCGGAGCTTTTAGTGCAGGAATGATTTTTCAAAGAGGAAAACAGTAGATCCAGAAACCATGAAGGCATCATTTTTTCCACAAAGCAAATTCTCCCTCAGATACGCTCGCTGGCGTCTACGTGACATTTGAAGCAGTGACGTCTCCACAGCAGCGCGGCGGAAACCAGAGAAAGCACAGTGATAAAGTGCAATCCTGGCTCAACAACGCAAACACAATGGCCACAAGGGGGAGCTGTGGGAACATCCTGTATTTATTTGGTTAAAACCAAAAACAGAAACAAGAAAATAATGAAGGCATTTAATAAAAATCCATCCTGAACTGATCCAGCGAGGGGCCGGAGAGACGTTCGGGTTCTTCATCCCTCACAGAGCGACCGAGACTCACATCAGTTCACAGACTTCATAAATTGAAAGGGTGGCTGTGTGGGTGGAGCTGCAGGCGCAGACTGTCTCATCCGATGGTTCCTAACAGACCTTCCGACCTCTTTCCTGTCACTATTTTCCTCCCTTGGAGCTGGGAGATGGGAACTTGCAGTAATTTTCATGCATTCAGACGATGCATTCAAATGACTTTCATACTACACAGCAGTGGTGAAAAAACAAAACCTGGCAGCTGTACTGGCTTCGTGCAGACAGAAAGAGCCAATAAAAGCTAAAACGCCGTCACGACTCGATGGTTGGGGTGCTCCTTTCTCGTTGCTCTCTCAGCTTCTGCTTCCTAAAATAACAGAGGAGCTCAGAGGCTCCTTCAGTCAGTTTCCAGCTTCACAGCGCTCAGGTGTCCTCTTTGGTTCTGAAGGTGACAGACGTCCGCTGGCCTGCGCTCCAGTTCTGTCTACAAGCTCACAACAATTCCCTGCAGAGAGCTGAACATCCCGGGTGAGCCGAGACATCCAGGCAGAGCCAACCGAGGGATGGAGTTTGAACGTGAATCAGAATTGGGAACCTGGACTCGGACTGAGAGCAGCGAGTCTGCTTATTTTGAATTTCATTTTGTCCCAATTTGGTTTTGTTTGTCTGAATTTAAACATTTTACTTATGGGAGAAAAAACGAAAGATGCTAAATCTGTGAAACCTTCACTTTAGTTCGGATGCAGTCGACCCTACTCTGGACTCTGCACAGTCCAGGCCGCACGCCGGCCCGCCGTAGCTGACTGACAGGAGTCCTCCGTGATCGCCAGCATTCACCGTCACGTCCTGCTGCGGCGGTTTGTCTGGGTCGGTCTGATCAATGGCGCTGATTGGTTTGTTGATAAGGAAGCCTGAATTTTATGGAAAACCAAATGAGGCGTACTCACGACGATCCTGATCGAGTCTGCAGGAGGGTTTTAATGCGTGTGAGCTGAAGCATCCTCAATGGAGACGCGGTGGGGAGAGCGGCCCAGTTTGGGGGAGTTCTCTGGTTTTGAGATTAAAGCGTTGTGGTTTACGAAGGCCAGATTGACACAGGTCTGTGCTGAGACTGGTTTTGGATGAGGTCGCCGCCTCGGTTGGTCCTGATCTGGGAGCCTTTCTGAGCCAGTTCACGCTGCAGAGATGTGCTTCTAGATTTGGTTTTCAGGATCGGGTCAGAGTTGGTAAAGTCTCGAACGGATGGAGGATTGTTGAATCTTGCTTTGGATTAGAAAACGGCGGGTGGACAGCGCCGATGATGAGTGTGGACTGGTTCTGGGTGTGAGTGTTAGTGCCCGGCGGAGTCCGTGTGTCGGTCTGTTCGATGCGTTCGTACTTTCTGTTCAAGGTTAACAGCTGCAGCCTTCCTTTGCTGGCTGGTTGTCGGGGTTGGGGCGTCCCCCCTGCAGTGTCGAAGGTTTGTGCTGGACTCCCGACTCGGCGGCGTTCAGGTCCAGGCTGCCATCTTGAATGTTCTGGTAGATCCTCTTCGCTGCCTCCAGGAAGGCCTCCTCCACGTTCTCGCCTCTGCAGAAGAAGCAGAGGCCAAACTCGTCAGGACTTATTGAAACATCAGTCATCACAAAGACCCAGAAACACGTGTTCATGCACTTCACCGTTCTGTGGTGTGAACGGGTTTCTGAATGAATCGTAACCATCGAGCCACTACGAGCTTCCTCTCTAACACGCCGTACTTACGTCTTGGCACTGGCCTCCAGAAACAGCAAACCTGAGAAACAGGAAGCAGAAATCAGAGAAATCAGCGAGTCTCCGTCTGCTGCTGAGCGTTTATCTGATCGTGCGAGCGTCTCACCGTTCTCCTCGGCAAACTGTTTGGCCTCCTCGTACGTCACGTCTCTCTGAGCCTCCAGGTCGGCCTTGTTGCCGATCAGAATGATCACCTACGACACGGAGACACGCAGACTGAGCAGCGACTCTTCAGCGCGTCACAGGTTAAAGGATGTTTCGTGCACAGCAGCTTAACAGGTGTTTGTTAGCTGCACGGGGTTACTGCCATAAACGTGAGCAGGGATGTAATAACTGTTTACTTGTAGCTGCGGTCCAGCCAAGTCTGTTTACGCACCGCAGCTCTGGGTCACTTTCACCTTCAGACTCCATTTTGAAATCATTCTCTCTCTCCTGCCTGAAAAGAAGATTTAAAAGAGTCGCCACAGAAGTCTGCGTGGGCGCACTCACCGTGTTTGGGTTGGTCAGGTTCCTGGCGTCCGTCAGCCAGCTGCTCAGGTGATTGTAGGTACTTCTCCTGAACACACAAAAATAACAAAGTCAATACACTCTCTGAACGTTTGTCTGACATTTAGTCCACAGCAGCATCGACTGTCAGGGCGCCATCAGAGTCACCGCCTGGCAAATATTTAGTTTGGATGAGAATCCTACAAAGGAACCGGTTCTTGTTCGACCTGCTGCTTTCAAGTCACTCTCTAAGATTTAAACATTACCGCCCACCATCAGCCAAGAGCAGGTGGAGGCCTCCATCAACAACCTCATCACATGAAACATAACACTACTTTTAAAGGGACAGTCTACACCCTGCATCACACATGAGTGTGATCCACAGAAAATTCACTCATGCAGGAACTTTTTCCTTTCTCACGTCTACATTCAAAAGTGGCTTCAGGGCGATTAATGTTTTAAGGTCGACCCTACAATAATACACACAGAGAAAAACCCAACAATCATATGACCCCCTATGAGCAGCACTTTGGCGACAGTGGGAAGGAAAAACTCCCTTTTAACAGGAAGAAACCTCCAGCAGAACCAGGCTCAGGGAGGGGCGGGGCCATCTGCTGTGATTG